TTTCACCCTTTAATCCATTTCCCAGATCATCTGCAGAAGTCACTGTCAAACAAATATTGCATCTCTACAAGACAGTCCACTAGGTCTGCAGCTCAGATAAATTACGATTTCAATCATCTATAAAATGAGACAGCAGGACAGTTAAGGATTTTTAATTCATATCCATACTTAAAGGTCTATTCTGGATTTTGGATACAAGATCTTCAGGAGTAAAAGGCTTTTCTATAATTTAAAAAAACAAAGACTGTGAAGTGCCAGAGGATCCTGAGGACAAAATGCTTGTATGAATAAAGTATATTAAGTGCCATTGACTGTGGGAACTGTGAGCCACTAAAGTCGTGTGTAGGTTCCTCACAATCTGCAAATATACATGTATCATATAACTTGTATAGTATTTTTAGCGGTAGGCGTGCAAGAAGCACTTTTGGCTATTGCAGGTATATAGCATCACTGAAATGAAGCTGCCATTTGGTGGTTTGCCTATTTTTGTGAATTTGGGAACCCATTTTGTCCAAAAGAATTTTACATCATCTGTTGTTGGATCAGTAATGAAACAAGCAGATACCAATACAAGCACAAACCTATTTAAACAAGACAGTCCAGAGGTAAGTAATAATTGGTGCTGTTGGGAAGAGTGGTGTTTTTACTGACAGTCTTTTTGCAGTCTGAATTTTGTCAATCCCCAATTTTCCTCCTACATTCCATCATCCTTTATGCGTTTGCATTGTAATTGGAAATGTTTGTTAAAAATACACTGATATCTGGAAGGGAATGATTAAATATTTTTACAAGTGTCTTTCTTTGTTTCTGCTTTTAACTTGGCAGGGAAGGGGTTTAGAAATGTAATCTTGTTTCTGTCAGGGGAAAGCTCTTGGACCGTTCTCCTGTAGGTGATGCAAAGAAACTCAAGTAAAATACAAAACCTAAGGTTAAAATTCAGAATGAGACATTGCTTTCTTTTTTCCTTATTGTGTGTAATAAGAAACCCCCCATGCCGGTCCTCTAAATAGCATTACCCCAGATTGTGGCTGGAGTGAGATCACTTGGCCTTAAAGATTCCATGGCAGTTGGAGACAACTACAGTGAAGAGAACAGCTGGCCACAAGTTGGAAGCCATTACTGTGTGAGAAAGGAGGTGGATTATAAATTACTGTCATAATTTGTTAGCTGTGCTGCTGCTACCACCACTATATTACAAAGGAGTACCCTGATGTTCTCAGTATTGCTGGCACCCAGAAATGTTACCATTTTTCTGCAGGGGTCCCTAAACCCCTAGGGCTACTGTTGAGGGCCTATGGTGATGAGACATAGAAGTGAGAGTTAGGAGACCAGGTAAAGCAATCCTTGCTGTTTTTTGAATTTTGAGATTACATCTTTAGAGGGAACTAAAGTTGAAAGCTTCCTGGTTGAGGGGACAAATAGTCCAGTGATTGCATCCAGCCCACTTACAATTACTGTATACAGGAACCCACAAGCCCAGCTGAGTGTCAGAAACTGATTCAACAACCTGCTGATTAGGAGTTGCTATGTAAGTAGCATCTGGGATTGGGACGCAGATGTGAAAGAGTAAATGGTTATATTAATTTAGTGGATGTCTTTGCCAAGGTGGTTCACCGGCCTCCTCCTTGTGCTCAGTGTTAAATTAAATTAAATTAATGGAGATATCCCCATCTCCTAGAACTGGAAGGGACCTTGAAAGGTCATTGAGTCCAGCCCCCTGCCTTCACTAGCAGGACCAATTTTGATTTTGCCCCAGATCCCAAAGTGGCCCCCTCAAGGATTGAACTCACAACCCTGGGTTTAGCAGGCCAATGCTCAAACCACTGAGCTATCCCTGCCCCCGTCAGAAACTTGCTGCCCTCTAGGAACAGTCTCAGCAAGAGGCCAGCAACTGGTGCCCATACTTTAAATTGTGTTTGTGAGTCAGATCTGCAAAGACTCTGTAACCAGGGTGACGTGACAAGCCCATAGGCTGCCCAACAGCATGCTAGAGAGGCGGCCTCTTGGACAGGGCCTGCACGGAGCAAGCTGGGCTTTCCCTAGTTCCTCCTACTGGCTGCCAGGGGCGACTGGGAGGAAAACTGAGCTTACAGGCAAAGCTGCCTGTTCTTCCCTCTCTCGCCCCTCCGGCTTTGCCGCGCAGCCGGACAAGCGGCGGAAGGAGGAGGCTGGCAGCAGGGCTGCCTCGCACCTGCCGCCCCGCCCCGAGCAGTAGCTGCCTCCTGCGAAGAGTAACGGGGGAGAGCGGGGAGCACGCAGGCGAGGCAGAGTAGGCCCAGTCAGACACGCTGGGTGAGGGAGCCAAAGGGGGCAATTAGGAGAAGCGAGAGAGGGAGGGGCCCAGGCGGGGGGAGGGAGTGAAGGGGGCGGAGTATGGACAGAGGCCGCGGGAACCTGCCTGTCAGCGAGCCACCTGGAAGTCAGCGGCAGGGGAGAGAGCGACCCCTTAGCCCTCCGCAGCTGCCCTCCTGCCGCGGGAAACCAGCCCGGCTCTCCCACAGCACAGCCCTGCAGCTGACATCCCCCTACACACCCCTATACACCCCCCATGTCCCCCGCGGCCGAGCCACACACACCCCCAACACCACCCCATTTACACCATCGCCGCCCCCCATCTCCCTCTCCCCGCGGAGCCACACACACACCCTTACCCCACTCCCGCTATCCCCACCCCGCGGAGCCACCACCACCCCCTTTACACCACCCGCCATCGCCATCTCCCCGCGGAGCCACCCCCCTTACCCCCTCCCTCTATCCCCACCCCTCCTTATACCATCCCCCCTCTCCCCCAGAGGAGCCACTCCCCTTACACACACCCCATCTCCCTCTCCCCGCGGAGTCACCCTCCCTCTATCCCCACCCCGCGGAGCCACCTTACACCGCCGCCTTCCCCATCCTAGGGAGCCAAGGGTGCCCACACGTCCCTTCCCCGCCGCCCCCCATGCCGCTCACCCCCCGGCCCTCCCCAACCTCTACCCTTCTCCAGGCCACGCAGCCAACCCCCCTTTTCTTATTCCTTCCCTCTATGCAGCCCCCGTGCACGCACATACCCTGTCCCCTACTCCCTATGCAGCCAACCCCACCTGCTCCTTCTGCACCCCACGCCGCCAGCCCTTCCCGAACCGAACCCCACCACGCTCTGCCTGCTTCCAACCTGCACGCACAACTCTTTGCACTCTCCGGAGCCGGGTCCTCGCATATTCCCGCAGGGGGAGCCGCTGCCTCATGCGGCCGGTTTTTGCAGGGACAGGAGACCGCAAGGGGAAGTTGTGCATCAGTCTGTACGAGCTCTGCACTGGGCTACGTGACTTGGGACACAGCCAGCCTCCTGGGGTGTGAGCAGTGCTATATAAAAGGCTGGACACCTCCCCAAGCTAAGGCTGTGTCTGCAGTGCTGCTTCTGCCCCTCTCCTCCCGGCCAGGTAAATCCCTTGTCTCTAGCGGCAGAGTGCATCTGGGATAGTGGATTAGTGGTTGTGACCCGCAGGGTGATGGGGATTATGTAGCATGTGTGTAATAGCCTCTACCAGTTGTGGTACCTAAATTGCCTCACTGATGGGATTGTAACTGGACACCCTTCGTTTCAGGTCTACAGTTGCCGCTATGGCCAACTTGGGCTTTTTCCAACTGCTAAGGAAAAACAAAGAAGTAAGTTTGCAAAAGAGCGTTGTCCTAAAATGATCCGATCTGCCTTCCTGGCACTGACGAAGAGTCCTATGAACAAGTGCATGTTGAAGAGGTTACATTAAAACGTGAGATTTGCCAGATTAATAAAATGCACTCTCTAAAATAAAATGATGAATGTGCAGAAGTTGAAGACACACTGGAAGTGAGATGGTGCGATCGGCATATATGTTATGCCTTCTTTGCGGGAGTTTCACTTGCTTTAAAGCTTTTTAATTCATGTCTCCAGTGTGCATGGACCACCAAGAGAGACATTTGGTTCTTGAAAGCTTTGTTTTCTAACTTTTTGTCTTTCAGCTCATTCCTTTGATTGGTTTTGTGGGCCTGGCAGCAGGTGGGGCTCTAACTGCTTCTCTGTATTCCCTATGCACCAAAAGTGATGTGATGTAAGCATAATCTATTCCATATTTCTCTGAGTTATATGCTTGGTATTGAGTTTTCTTTGCTAAATAGATACCCTGAAGTCAATGAGGTGTATCAGAGTGGGGAGGGGGGAATTAGGGAAGATCTGACACTCAGCAGTTTTTTTAAATTAACGTCTTAATCTTACAGATCATTAATTCTTCTATTATATTTTTGTAAAGAATTTACTCCAGTCTGTTATTCCCCAAACTGCATTAATTTTTGAATTTGTTGCTCAGAAAATTTATTTTTTGTCTTCACTATAAATGTAGTTTGAGCTAAAATGTTCTTGTGCAAAGTTTTAAATAGTGAATTCAAATAGCATTTAATATGTCTCAAATAGAGGAATGTGTTGAAAAGGAATCATTTTTACAACATATATCTGTCTTTTTACATTTTTTCTTCTGAGACAGAGGTACACAGATCACAATATGTCATTTCCAATAGCCAATAATATTCAGACTTTAAAATTTTAATTTTGCTAACACCTACTTAATTCAATCATCTAATGGTTTGGAAAAAATGAATCTTAATTTAAGATTTAATAACCTTGTGCCTTCAGTTAAAGGCAGCTTTCAATATACAGTGTAAATCCTCAAAGATTTCTGGCGGTTGTGGATGGCCTCTCAGACTGTGTCAGATCTCTTACTGGTACTGGTCTTAAGAGCTGCATTCTGGCTCACAGAAGTGCTGACTGACTGGGACGCAGAGGTGGAAGGTCCTATGGAAGACCATGCTTAATACTTCTATGTCAAAAACCCAGCCTTCACTTCCTTTACCATCTCATTCAGTTTATTTCACATAACCTCATTCAAGGTATTTTATTAATAACTCTCTCTTTGAGATATTAAATCAGATCATTAAATAACAGACAGCTATTGCTCATATCTAGATAGCAGGATTTTGATACCCATTATCAGTTACTACTTTTTTTCTTTAAAATGGTTTGACTATTAATTTAGGGCCCAAGCTTGAAACATTGAAGTCCATGGCAGTTTTAAAATTGACCTGTGAGCATGACTGGGCTTTTAGCCATAAGGCTAAGAATTCCAGTAACTGTTACCTAAACCACAACATGATATTATTATTTATTAAGCAATGACAGCATGTCTGGGATACAAACTACAAATAAAAGCCAGTCCCTCTGCCAAGTTTAATGGCCTAATGCTGTAAACCTCTATTCATGCAAGTAGTTTTTCTCATGTCAATAGTTACACTGAAGCTAGTGAGACTACTCAGCTGACTAAGGGTGTGCAAGATCAGGCCCTAAAACATTGTCTTTGTTTTTCCTACAATGAATTTCATAATTCTTTTTTAGTGTTAACAAGTCTGGCAATCCAGAACCTTGGGAAAATGTGAATCCTAACCAGGCTCAAAAGGTAACGAATAAAATAATTTAGTCCATAAAAGTTGGTATTGAGTGTAGTGCCAATTAACTATAGTCTATTTCATTAGAGATTAAATGAATGTATATAAATATATTTAGAGCGTATGAGTTAACAGAATGTTAATAGAAGAATACAATCAAATCTTCATTCGTGGTCTAATTCTGCAAAGTGCTGAGCAAATGCAACTCCTATTTACTACAGTACATGATTTCAGTGTATGTTTTGGGTATACATGGCTAAGTCCTGTGTGTTCATAAAATCAGAAATAACCTAATATTATGGTTCTTAATTACTTCATTCTTAAAGTCTTAAGATATTTGTGGAGAGTCAGGCTTAATAGGCAAAAAATTATTGTGAGTGGTGTAACTATTTACTGTGCATAGATTAGCATTTCAAATGAAAAAACATTACAATGTTTTATTTGATGATTAATAAAGAAAATATATTGCTCAATGGTACTTCTGTTTACTTGTAAAAAGAGAAAGTAAAGTTACTTATTAGAAGACTTCCTTAATACACAAGAGATTGTATAAATTGCTGTATAGTGTAAAAAACCTACAAAACTTACTATATATTTAGAGAGGATAACTGTTTGGTTTTTAATAATTTGCTCTTCGTATTGTTCTTTTTATTTTTTAGCTTATATCAATCAAGCAGGAGTGGAAATCCATAGAGGAGCTGGAGAAGGTCAAAAAGATGATGAAGTGACAAGTTGCCATTGCCTCAAAAATGTACTCTATGAATCTAGTGGAATCATTTCTGCACAAACTCGACTACTGAAATCAGTGTGCGGAAATGCTTCTGCTACGTTTTTAGGGTCTCCCTACATTTTTGGACTCTGGATGAGGAATTTCATTTTGTCTTAGTGGTTACTTAGAATATCCACACAGTCCAAAAATAAACATCTCTTTCAGGTACTCATTGTTTCAACAGTCATGTTTAACTTGATGTACAATGTTCAATATGCAGAGTATTAACGGGGTGGAAAATTCTTCATTCATATATGAGCTTTTTAGAATGCTGAATTATTTTTCTTAAAATATATATAATTTTGTAAATTTTCTAATAAAATGGGCACTTATGTTTAAATGTTTAGATTTATTCAAAATTCCCTGTGGCTTCAAAGAGAGCAGGAGCAAGACCATAATGAGTGTGAAAGTGTCAATATTCTTTTAAAAGATCCTCTCCAAAATAAGAACTCTGGTCTGTTGCTTCTTAGTTCTTTATACCATATTTCAGTGATGTGTGCTAATTTTACCGAGATGCTATTTGTACATGGTAGCATAAGTGGTCATAGTAGAAAATTTGGCTTCCAGTTCAGATTTGGTGAGTCCCAATCCTGCAAAGACTTACACATTTGCTTAAATTTATGCACTGAGTAGTCCCTCTGAAGTCAATGGTACAACTGACACAGTGCAAAGATAAGAACATGTGTAAGTCTTTGCAGGACCAGGTCCTAAGACAAATTATCAGCACTTCAGTGTGAGTGAAACAAGAGCAAATCTTTTGTATTTGTAAGTTCCTGCTGTTTATTCCTGTGAAAATTTTATTAAAGTAAAATGAAGATTAATTTGGAGTGGACATAAAACTTTATTAGAATAAGTTTTATTATCCTCTTTTTATTGTACATACAAGTTTAAGCGTAGAATACAGATTCCCAGAAGACATTTTTAAATGATTTCTAGATAAAGCAAACAACCTTAATAGCATGTACCAAGAGAAAATCAACAAAGATTACATTAGGAGTAGGATCCTATATAAGTCATTTCCTGTTTAATAATTTACATTTTTTTCTGAAGATTGGTTAGTGCAGAGATCTGTAGGTATTCCTTCTCCTTTATGTGCCTTTAATTTTGGAATAATTGCCGAAGAGGGTATCCCTTCCAGAAAGGTTTTCCTTCATTGTGTCATGACGCATCCTCACTCCAGACAGTATCACATGTACTGACTGTGTGGTTTCTAACTATATTGTATTTCTAAAGTGCATAACATTTTCTGGAATCACAAGTTTGTATGGGTGAAGAAATCAAAGCAGGAATCGTTAGATGAGCTACACTGGAGAATGACTTGCTTTCTGTGAGAATAACTTCTCTAAATTTAGAAAAAAATCCCCCAAATGCTAGCAGTTGTCAAGTGCTATAAATTATTCAGCCACCGTGCAAACAAAACTGAAAGTAAATAATGAAGCCATACACCTAGACTGAGTTAACGTGGGTTCAGAGTTCTCAAAGCTTGTTTGATTTTGAGAAATAGAAAATAGTTACAATACTGTTGTGCTGCATTTTTTACAGATGTGGCAGTAAAGTTTATTTTTTACAAGTAAGGATGACTCAGCAGCATACAACTGATGTAAATAACTCCAGTCCTCCCTAGCTTCAGAAAAACTTTCATGTGTAAGGACAAGCGGAATTATCAGACTTCTAAACTTTTCTTTGCTAAAATTACAAATTTAAGAGGAGTGGCATCAGAAGATCCCTAGATGTGCAACCACAAAAGTTCACCTTCCAGTCCTCTAGAATATTGGCTTTTGTCTTGTTAAACAGAGAGGCATTTTTAATATAATTGTGTTCAATCTAATAATCTACTCAGTGTTTCTACATTTTTTTACTGGAATGTGCTCATCAAAAGTGTGCAGTGCTCTGAGTAAATAAGTGAATTCAACATTTTTGTCTGTCAGCAAATCACTTGTCTCCTCTGTAAAAACTGGATCTTGCCATGAAGGGTCTACCTACACTAGAAAAATAAGTGTAGGGCAATGGTGATATATAATGGAATGCTACAAAGATCAAATATAGGGGTATATCATTCTTATCTTGATATGCAGGCATTCCCTCATATCTCTCCCTTACCCTCTCCAGTAATGGTATTAGCAAGCAAGGCCCCCAAAAATATGAAAAAATCCAAGATCATTTTTAATTTAGTCTGGAGTGAATGTACCATTTTCTGCACACGAAAAGTCAAATGTGCAGCAATATAAACAGGGGCGGCTCTATGCATTTTGCCACCCCAAGCACGGCAGTCAGGCGGCTTTCGGAGGCACGCCTGCGGGAGGTCCGCCAGTCCCGCGGCTTCGGCGTACCCGCCGCCGAATTGCCACCGAAGCCGCGGGACCAGCAGACCTCCCACAGGCAGACCACCGAAGGCTCCCTGATTTCCGCCCCCACAGCAACTGGCAGGCTGCCCACAGCTTGCCGCCCCAGGTACGCGCTTGGTGCGCTGGTGCCTGGAGCTGCCCCGAATATAAAACACAAGTGGGGAGGAAGGTTGTATAACTCAGTCAGGGGAAAGCATGTGAGCACTTAGAGCAATCCAGCCACTTCACAGGACAAAAAGAAGTCTCTGGTTTCCTTCCCTACACTATAGCTCCTTTCATCCTGAATATTATTATTTAACATTTATTTTGCAGTAGCACCTGAAACCCAACCACATTGGAGCTCTGTTGCGCTGGGCATTGTATGGACTTCCAGAAAATGACAATCTCTGCCCCAAAGAACTTACTTTATACGTCTGTAGCAATTTAAAAGCACTTTACAAATATTAACTAACCTTTAATTACCTCATGTGAGGTAGGTATTATACTCACTGTGCTGCTGTGGAATCTGAGGTACAGATGTGAACTTCCTGAAGTCATACAGAAAATCTGTGGTAATGCTTGGAATTAGAACCAAGAGTCCAGACTCCTGGTGCCCTGATCTAATTGGTAAACAACCTTGCCACTCTTTCTCATATTAGATAACATTAACAACACCAGTAGTGGGAGATTACCTCATGTGGTTACTAATTGTACCCTAATGGTCTGAAAAATAACATGATTAATGCCCGAGCTGTTGACCAGTAAACTTTTGGTGGTGTTTGCTGTTTATGTGGCTACCTCATGGCACTGTGCCAGCATACTTGCTAGGCTGATGCCAGGTGGGTTTGATGTCTTGATGGCCCCCATATGGCTCACAGCATTGGACAGGTAGATGATCAAGGGCTGTAATTGTATATCAACTTCAGAGACAAGACAGAAAAAGCCATTGTGACATGGAGCTGTTTCAGAGATCAGAATTTTAATGAAATCTAAGTTTATAAGGCTTATGGTAAGAAAATATTAATTCTGAGGTAGGCCCACATTTGTAAGTAAGGCTTACAGCCTCATCAAGGAATCTTGGGAATAATGGCTTCCTTAGTCTTCTGCAGAAAGGAAAGGTTGAAAGCCAGTTAAGCAATGTAGCTACGAGATCCCCCTATTTCCTTTTATTGACCTTCGTGTCTATAGCAATGGTTTGCTGGTGCCTAGAGCCGGCCCTGTCAGTTTAGTGTGTTCAGAACTGCTTAGAGAGCTGGGAGGTAGGATGACCAATCAAATCAATTACACAAATATGGTTAGAGGTGGTATCCACACTACAGAAAAATAAACTAGGCCTCAGTCAGAGAAACGCTGAGGCCCAGCTCCTCACAATGTATTTAGACACCGAAGTCCCATTGATTTCAATGGGAGATAGGCAGTTAGGCCGTTCCTCAAAGGTAGTTATGTGCTTACCAGCCATGCCAGTGACCATTTACAAACTTAGTTAAAAGTTGTAGAGTGGAGAGGGGATCCCTTAATAATTTGAGTCAATGGAAGCGGAGCAGGCCCATACACAGTGTTTCATTTATGGTAATGTCCTTTATTTCATCGTTAGGGCAAGATTCTGAGCCAAGCATTTAGAGAGAAAATATAGGAAAGCAGAAAGCAAGTTGGAGACTCCATTTTCTGCTATGCCTGTTGACAGCAGCTGCATTATCACACACATGTCAGTTGATTAGTCTAATGACCTGTAGAAGTTTCATTTGCCTACGTGCTGCAGAGAGAGAGAAGGAAGTAACCTTTGCTCAATATTTTTTCATTTTTAACTGTGCAAACAGACTGCCTGATTAAATCAGGTGTGGCTCCTAAGTCTTGACAATGATTCCTTACATATTAGTCATCTTAAATAGAATCATAAGTTAAAATTATTTTCAGTTGTACAGCTATTCGGCAGATACAACATTTCTAAACTGTTTGTTAATTTCATTCTGCCAAGATATGTCTCTAAATGTGTGTGTGTGTGAAGTACTTTGGAAAAAGATACTGCACTCTTCTCCCCTCCATTACAGCAGCTTTACAAGAGTTGATGGTGGTGGAGGTACTCCTGATTAACAGTAGTGTATATGAGAGAAAAAATGAGACCTCTCAAATCTGAGTTTAAATTAGAATTCTGAAATTATAATCAAGCAAGCTCTTCTCAGCCAGAGCTTTCCTTTATCACTACACAGCTTGCTACATTAGTTACTGCAGCTATAGATTATCTCTATGGCCATTTTGCATTTTCTATACAAGGTTCACAATACTTGGTAAAATCCTAACCCCATTGAAGTTAATGGGAGTTTTGCCATTGACTTCAATGGTGACATGTTTTCACCCTCGGTTTTGAAAAGTAGGGGCCAAATTTTAGTTGCTAAGTGCAGGTAGGCACATTAACCTCAATTCAGGAAAGCACTTAACTTTAAGCATGTGCTTAAGTCCCATTGACTTTAATACCCTCAGAAGTATCTTGTCCCTCCTCACAGGTAATGTTTTTGACCACCTCCTGTGTTCTGTTTTGCAGAAGGCAGGTGCTCACCCAGGTCATGTAGAGATCAGTCATTTTCTGTGTGTTTAAGGTTTCTCTTTCTTGGCCTTGTATGTGATTATGTGTGACAGCTGCCATTTTGGCTGACATACTGGGGACCTCCAGGCCTAAAAGCCTAAGCTGCTACAACCTGAGCTAAAAAGGCAAGATTTTGTAGCTGGTGTCTGTAACAACTCCTATCATTTGTGGCTCAGCACAGAGAGGAACTTGTAATACACACACATGAGTTAGGACATAGCTCTGATGTTGCACGCTCACTCTTCAGTGCTCAGACATTTATATACAAATCCTGGATCATACAGATGATTATAGATACATTTTTAGAAGTGTTATAATTGCTTCCCTCTGCAGATATCAAGGGCTTTTACGTAATCTGAGGCTTCTTACAATGGCACTAATGCAATCCATAAATATTGCTGTACTTTTTCACTCTAAGCCCTTTAATGGAGTAATAATGTCAGCTGGATTCCATTAGCTGTTGTGTACACTACTGATAAAGTCACACGTAATGGATCTTGTTTTCCTATACAAAATGTGATATTTATAATTATTTAAAAAACAAAGTATCCATGGGGAAGAGGGAAGCTATTTTTAAAAAGAGTAACTTTTCATGGAGAGTTTATTTTTCTTGGGCCCAGTCCTGCAGCCCGAGTTCATGAAAGCATTCCTTAT